GTCTCCTTCGGGGAGTTAAACCGGCCCAGAACCCGTTTATGCGGGTTCAAATGGGCTATTTTTTTGCCGAGCCTAATGGCTCAGGAATAGCCACGTTAAAAAGGCCTTGTGCCACATGGCACCCCTCGTGGGGGGGACTGAATATTGTCAGTCAGCAGTTCACTTTTGAACCGACTGCACGGTTAAACTCTCTTCCCTACGGGCGGGAGGAACCCGAAGGAGGCTACGCCGAAGAAGGGAGTTTCGGGAGTCTCCTTCGGGGAAACTCGGCCCAGAACCCGTTTATACGGGTTCAAATGGACTGCACGGTTATTTTTGGCCGAGCCTAATGGCTCAGGAATGCCCCCACGTTAAAAAATGGCCTTGGGCCCACGTTGGACACCCTCGTGGGGGGTGACTGAATATTGTCAGTCAGTCGTTCAAGTTTTGAACCGACTGCACGGTTTGAACTCTCTTCCTACGGGCGGGAGGAACCCGAAGGAGGCTACGCCGAAGGCGGAGTCTCCTTCGGGGGTAAAACAGTCACCCCTGAACCCCGTTTATACGGGTTCAAATGGGCTATTTTTGGCCGAGCCCAATGGCTCTGGAATGCCCACGTTAAAAAAGGGCCTTGTGCCACATGACACCCTCGTGGGGGGGTGACTGAATATTGTCAGTCAGTCGTTCACTTTTGAACCGACTGCACGGTTAAACTCTCTTCCTACGGGCGGGAGGAACCCGATGGAGGCTACGCCGAAGGGCGGAGTCTCCTTCGAGGAGGTTAAAACCGGCCCAGAACCCGTTTATACGGGTTCAAATGGGCTATTTTTGGCCGAGCCTAATGGCTCGGGGAATTCCCGTTAAAAAGGCCTTGTGGCTCGTGGGGGGGTGAATGCCCAGTCGTTTTGAACCGACTGCTCGGTTTGAACTCTCTTCCTACATGGGAGGAACCCGAAGGAGGCTACGCCGAAGGGCGGAGTCTCCTTCGGGGGTTAAACGACCCCACTGAATACGGGTTCAAATGGGCTATTTTGGCCGAGCCTAATGGCTCAGGAATTCCCTTAAAAAAAGGCCTTGTGAACCGACTGCATATTGTCGGTTAAACCGACTGCTTTGAACTCTCTTCCGGGCGGAGGAACCCGACGGGCGGGAGGAACCCGAAGGAGGCTACGCCGAAGGGCGGAGTCTCCTTCAGGGGAGGTTAAACTCGGCCCAGAACCCGTTTATACGGGTTCAAATGGGAAGGCTATTTTTGGCCGAGCCTAATGGCTCAGGAATGCCCACGTTAAAAAGGCCTTGTGCCACATGACACCCTCGTGGGGGGTGACTGAATATTGTCAGTCACTCGTTCAAGTTTTGAACCGACTGCTCAGTTTGAACTCTCTTCCTACGGTCGGGAGGAACCCGAAGGAGGCTACGCCGAAGGGCGGAGTCTCCTTCGGGGAGGGTTCTCGGCCCAGAACCCGTTTATGCAGGTTCAAATGGGCTATTTTTAATGGCTCGGAATTCCTTCCAGCCTATTAAAATGGGCTATTTTTGGCCGAGCCTAATGGCTCCAGGAATACCCACGTTAAAAAAGGCCTTGTGCCACATGACACCCTCGTGGGGGTGACTGAATATTGTCAGTCAGTCGTTCACTTTTGAACCGACTGCACGGTTAAACTCTCTTCCTACGAGCGGGAGGAACCCGAAGGAGGCTACGCCGAAGGGCGGAGTCTCCTTCAGGGAGGTTAAACCGGCCCAGAACCCGTTTATGCGGGTTCAAATGGGCCCATTTTTGCCCGAGCCTAATGGCTCGGGAATGCCCACGTTAAAAAGGCCTTGTGCCACGCGGCACCCTCGTGGGGGGTGACTGAATATTGTCAGTCAGCAGTTCACTTTTTGAACCGACTGCACGGTTAAACTCTCTTCCCTAAGGGCAGGAGGGACCCCGAAGGAGGCTACGCCGAGGGTTCGGAGTCTCCTTCAGGAGGTTAAAAGGCCTTTGTGCCCAGAACCCGTTTATGCGGGTTCAAATCACCGAACCGACTATTTTTCCTACGGCCGAGCCTAATGGCTCCTTCGGGAATGCCCACCCGTTTAAAGGCCTTGTGCCACATGACACCCTCGTGGGGGGTGACTGAATATTGTCAGTCAGCAGTTCACTTTTGAACCGACTGCACGGTTAAACTCTCTTCCTACGGGCGGGGAGGAACCCGAAGGAGGCTACGCCGAAGGGTGGAGTCTCCTTCGGGAGGTAAAACCGGCCCAGAACCCGTTTATACGGGTTCAAATGGGCTATTTTTGGCCGAGCCTAATGGCTCGGGAATGCCCGCACGTTAAAAAGGCCTTGTGCCACATGACACCCTCGTGGGGGGGTGACTGAATATTGTCAGTCAGCAGTTCACTTTTGAACCGACTGCACGGTTAAACTCTCTTCCTACGGGCGGGAGGAACCCGAAGGAGGCTACGCCGAAGGGTGGAGTCTCCTTCGGGGAGGTAAAACCGGCCCAGAACCCGTTTATACGGGTTCAAATGGGCTATTTTTTGGCCGAGCCTAATGGCTTGAGAATTGCCCACGTTAAAAAGGCCTTGTGCCACATGACACCCTCGTGGGGGTTGACTGAATATTGTCAGTCAGCAGTTCACTTTTGAACCGACTGCACGGTTAAACTCTCTTCCTACGGGCGGGAGGAACCCGAAGGAGGCTACGCCGAAGGGCGGAGTCTCCTTCGGGGAGGTTAAACCGGCCCAGAACCCGTTTATGCGGGTTCAAATGGGCTATTTTTTGGCCGAGCCTAATGGCTCGGGAATGCCCACGTTAAAAAGGCCTTGTGCCACATGACACCCTCGTGGGGGGGTGACTGAATATTGTCAGTCAGCAGTTCACTTTTGAACCGACTGCACGGTTAAACTCTCTTCCTACGGGCGGGGAACCCGGAACCCGAAGGAGGCTACGCCGAAGGGCGGAGTCTCCTTCGGGAGTTAAAAAAGGAGCCTTGGCCCAGAACCCGTTTATGCGGGTTCAAATGGGCTATTTTTGGCCGAGCCTAATGGCTCGGGAATGCCCACGTTTAAAAAGGCCTTGTGCCAAAAGGCATGACACCCTCGTGGGGGGGGACTGAATATTGTCAGTCAGCAGTTCACTTTTGAACCGAATGCACGGTTAAACTCTCTTCCTACGGGCGGGAGGAACCCGAAGGAGGCTACGCCGAAGGGGAGTGGAGTCTCCTTCGGGGAAATGGTAAAACCGGCCCCAGAACCCGTTTATACGGGTTCAAATGGGCTATTTTTTGCCGAAGCCTACGCCGGGGCGGAGGTCTCCCTTCGCTCGGGAATTGCCCACGTTAAAAAGGCCTTGTGCCACATGACACCCTCGTGGGGGTGACTGAATATTGTCAGTCAGCAGTTCACTTTTTGAACCGACTGCACGGTTAATCTCTTTCCTACGGGCGGGAGGAACCCGAAGGGAGGCTACGCCGAAGGGCGGAGTCTCCTTCGGGGAAATGGAAGTTAAACGGCCCAGAACCCGTTTATGCGGGTTCAAATGGGCTATTTTTTTACGCCGAGCCTAATGGCTCGAGGAATGCCCACGTTAAAAGGCCTTGTGCCACATGACACCCTCGTGGGGGGTGACTGAATATTGTCAGTCAGCAGTTCACTTTTGAACCGACTGCACGGTTAAACTCTCTTCCTACAGGCGGGAGGAACCCGAAGGAGGCTACGCCGAAGGGCGGAGTCTCCTTCGGGAAGATTCGCCGGCCCAGAACCCGTTTATGCGGGTTCAAATGGGCTATTTTTGGCCGAGCCTAATGGCTCAGGAATGCCCACGTTAAAAAGGCCTTGTGCCACATGACACCCTCGTGGGGGTGACTGAATATTGTCAGTCAGCAGTTCACTTTTGAACCGACTGCACGGTTAAACTCTCTTCCTACGGGCGGGAGGAACCCGAAGGAGGCTACGCCGAAGGGCGGAGTCTCCTTC